AATTATTTTATTTTGTTATATATTATATTCTTTGATTATTTATTTTATCATTTATTGCAATTGTTTTCTCAATTCTTAATTTGTTACACAAAATTTTTTTCAATTATTCAACCCCACAATTAATATTTTATTATATTATATTATATTATATGCATTTTGATTATATATATTTATTATATCATTTATTGCAATTGTTTTCTTAATTATTAATTTGTTACACAAAATTTCCTTCAATTATTCACACAATCAATTAATATTTTATTTTATTATGTTATATATTCTTTGATTATTTATTCTATCATTTATTGCAATTGTTTCTTTTAATATTTTACTATACACAAAATTTCTTTTAATATCCAACCAATTAATTTTATTACATTATATTATATTGTATTCTTTATAAACACACCACAATAATTTATTTATTTATTAAATTATTAATTTGATATCATTGTTAAAAATTCATGTATTTATCGAATCCTTATTTCTTTTTTATTGTTTCATTTAATGTCCTTTTCTTTTTCTGGTAGACACTTGGAGATCCTTTTTTTTTCTTCTTTTATGTAAATTGGTTGATTCGGAAACGAGATGGTCGCATTTGGGCCCACCCATAGGATCCGTTCCTCCTCCTCTCCTCTCCTCTCCTCTCCCTTCTTCCCTTACCTTGCAACTATTTTCCATACGTTAAGAACACCCACGCATGGCGCGTTCACGAACCCCATAGATTTCGGATAGAACAATGCTACTCTCTCCCTCTCTTTCTTACTTTCTTTATTTCTTTATTTTTTTTTCTTTCTCTCTCTCTCTCTTTCTCTCTCACCTTACAACCAATCTCCGGTTTGTGCCGTCAGTGTGATTAACGTAATAACAGTGCAAGTTTTGGTGCGCCTCCGCACGAAATCTTACGAGAGATCAATTTTCTAATCGTCTAAGTATGACTGGAATATTCAATGTTTTTTTATTGTTTAGAAATTATTATTATTATTATACGAATTGAAAAGAAAAAGAAGAATTAAGAAGATATTTTTATATATTGAAAATAAAAGTAAAATAATATGACGGTATATAAACTTGTTTGAAAAGTTATGATAGTTTTGAACATACTAATATTCATATAAAGTTTCTACTTTTACTTTAAATATTATTTTACCTTCCTTTTAACTATATATATATTAGATAATATTATATATATATATATATACACGTTACAAACATTGAATTTTTCATAGTAATAGAATTGGCACTGTCTGATAACAATATGTTATAGTATATCGCATTATTAACATACTCATTTCAATGTTACAAAATTGTATTTTACAATGTTCTCAATGTATATGTGTCGTTAAGTATCATATATGTGTGTGTGCGTTTGTGTGCACATTAGCTTGTATACCATTTTATATTTAACAATAAGTTGAAGTAGTCATCGTTTAAAGATTTTCGAATGGCGGGTGGGTAACAAACGCAGCATATTATTTTCTAAGAATATATTCTTATCGGTTTTGCGCGACACCATTAGAAAATACGTTTATTATACATTTATATTTCTTTTTTCTTTTTTCTACGACAATCAAAAAAGTATATTCCATTTGGGTCAACTATTTTGAATGCATAAAAAAATCATCTATCATTTTTCATTATATATAAAGAATTGAAATTATTAGAAATAAAAAAACAAAATTAATTAAAAAGATATTCTCTTCGGATAGGGATTAGAAAAATTTATATTATAAAATCATTGTTAAAAATTATTTTAAAAAAGGAAGAAAGAAGAACTTGAAAATAATAAATTGAGTGAAACTGACAATTGACGCGTTAAAACATAATCTTCCTAACAGAAACCATACTAAAATAAGTGATAGAGTTTTATCCGGGTAAAAGTAAAATGAAAAAGAAGAAGAAGAAAGAAAAAAAAAAAAAAAAATAAAATTACTATACTACGATGACTTTCTCACGCTCTTATCTTTCTTTCACGATATTAGTTATTACTAGTTGTTCTTTCTTATTCTGCGGGTATGTTTTAAACGTGTACAATACGTGTATGGTTTTTGGTTATTAGTATGTGTTCTATGGGGATCGACAAAAATATATATATGTATGATGATTACGTTTTAACTTCTTCGAAGAATTGTCATAGCGTATTACGATAATACTTATTCGTGATTATTATGCATCCTGTCGTTAACCCTTTCAAGAAATATTCAACTTCAATTTGAAACATCTCTCTCTTTGTTACTTTTTTTTAAAAAGAAAATAAAATTTAAGAGAAAGTGACGGGAAGATAATAACAGTTCTGTCATCATCGATCTTTCCACGTATATTTCATTTTTTAAATATACAATTTATCATATTTATATATATATATATATTTAATTAAAAATTAATATATATATATATATATAAAAATAGTAATTTCTTAATTTAATTATATATTAATGTTTTTTTATTTATATAAATATAAAATATATTTAATTAAAAAAATACTCACACATGTGTGTGTGTAGAAATATTTTAATATTTCTTTAAAATCCGAATTATATTAAATATCTTTTTGCTATATTATAATTCTTTTTATGGGAAGGGGAAAAAGAAATATTATTACAGATCAATATTATTCCAATGGGGGAAAAATATCGATATTAAAATATACGATGCGTTTTGACCAATAAAAAAAAAAAAAGGAAAAAGAAGAAGAAATAGAATCAATCGAGGAAAAAAATAGAAAGAGGATAGAACGATGAGATCTCGGAATTCATGGTGTATAGAGACGTGTATAGTATTTGATTAGGATTCATATTTGATTAAAAAGAGAAAGATAGAAGAAGATTCGACCATTTTGACTACCACCATAGTCAAGGGTCAATATTATCACACGTGCTCGAAATGCCGACACAGGGAAAACGAATTTCTTGGTCCTTTCTCTTTCTCGTATGGTGTCCTATATCGTATATAGTACCACTTTTAAATTCGGCCCTTCTTGAATCAAGAATCATATACGTGTATACTACACATACAACACACACATATACATTTAAAATCGATGCACGTTTATAATGTTTATTCAAGACGTTGTAAAAATTTTTCCAGGTATATAAAAGTCTCCTATTCTAATATTTCATATTAAAATATTAAATACGTATAGGGTGTACGAATTATTTTCATCGAAATGAAAAAACAAATAGATATATAAATCTTAGAATCCAGTATATTCATATTCTTTTTTTTTCTCCCCCATAAAAATAAATATACGTAGTAATGTTTTACCATTAAAAATATTATCTTAATGCAAAACATGAAATAATGAAAAAGGAAAGAAGTAATGAAACAAAATCTACACATACATACATATATACAAGAGGGATGAGAAAGAGGTATACTAATGCAAATAACAAATTTTTATCATTGTGCAATGAATCTTAATCGTTGACAGTTCAACGATAGAACGAAACGAGCACGCGTCGTTGTTATACTCGAGAAATGTATAATAAATTATATTGTTTTTTTTTTTTTTTGTTCTTACGCATAAAAAAATTAATTCATCGTCCGGTAGAAAGCAAACAACAAAAAACACACATATATACACACACATATATATAAAAATCATTCTTCGTTATCCGTGTTCACCTCACCCACCCTATTCTCCCTGTTTTTATTTTACTTTATTTCTCTTTTAGTTGTAATTTTTTGTTACATATATATATATATTTTTTTTATGGTGGTTGCGCTTCCGTTTGCTGTGCATTAAATGCGACTTTGTAAATTTTTATGCCGGTGCAGAAAACTGGCGGGTAGAACAACGGGCACGGTCATAAAACACATATGACACCCGTAGCATAATAATGTTAACCCGATAGTGGTTATCTCGTTGTATATAACGCACACACTAATACATGCTATATATACCGTTTCGCCATTTTCCTAATTAATGTTTAATGCCACGATATCTGCCCTCCTTACTCACCATTATGCTTGTCCTATCGATATCGCCATATCAACGTAATACATTTCTTTTTTTCTTTTTTTTTCTTTTTTTTCGTTGTTCTATCTCACTCTCTCGCATTATTATACTATTGCATTATTGCACTCTGTCGCATTGTTGCACTCTTCTTTTTTTTTTTTGGCTTCTCCTTCTTTTTTTTTTTTGGAATTAATTTTCTTTTTTCTCCGATACTTGTAAAAAATATTCGACAGATTTTATTTGCTTTATTATTATTATTATTATTATTATTATGTGCACGTCGAGTATTTCTTTGGTATTTTTTTATTTTTTTTATTTTATTATAATAATCGATTGTTTTTTTTTATCGTATGACGTAAAAGTTAACTAATAATATAATCCATGCACAACGTTCGTAATTAATGCATTTTCTTTTTTTTTTTCTTCTTTTTTTTTAACGTAAATTTTCTTTATACAAACGCGATGGAATACAATGGTTCATCAATAATTTGCGAAGAATTTTCTCTCGCGAGAAAAAATGAATGATTAAAAATTCGTTCCTGTAAACGTGCCTGTTCATTGTTATTATCAATAAATAAATTGAACAAACACAAACGAAAAAAAAAATAATAATATTATAATATTGTTTAGTGTAATTTGAATTTAGTCCTCTGGCAATTATCGTTATGTGAAATTTCAATTAACAAGTGCAAAATTTTCTTTAACAGGTAAGTATCTTGCAAATCATTGATGACGTTACAACAAACATTAATATATTTTACGATGCAAAATTAAATATCAATTATTGAGATAGAAATATTCCATTATTATTGTATTTTCTTTTTTTTTTTAAAAAAAAATAATCAACGACCCAACATACGTTGTGCATGAAAAAATTAATAATTATCTCGCAATTGTGTTCATTTTCCTGCATACGCGTTTACATTTGAATCCGTGATGGATAAATAAAAAAAAAAGCTTGGCTTTAATTAAATAAATAATAATGTAACAATATGAGATTACATGTTGTTATACAATTTCGGTCGTTATGTTTTAATTTCAGTCAAATCAAGAGGAGGAGTTATCGGATCCGGATTTGCAGGATCAAGAAAGTGGGGAAGAGTTACCCCCACGACCAAGGGTTGCAGTTCACCCTTCGGTTTTACCATCAAATACATCCGGAACTCCTTTATCAAATTTAAGCAACCTTATGAACTCCCACAATCCGCAGTTTCTCGCCAAACTGAGGATGGAAGTTAGTATTAAACAAAACAATCCAAAATATAACATTTGTTTTATACTAATTTAGTTTTAATAATTTATTTAATTATTTATTTAATATATACTTACTAAAATAATATTTCATATATTTTGTATATCATTTATATGTAATTGAGTAATAAAAAACAATTGATCAAACTATTATCTATCCATAATAATAGTAATAATATGAAATGAATGGGAGAAAGAGATAGAATACATAAAACATTGATTGGAATATGTATGGGAGGGAAAAAGGGTGAATCTAAAGGTAGGGGTGGATGAGAAAATTAATAAAAAGAAGAAGAAGGATTATAAACAGGATAACAAAATATTCTATTTAATATTTTCTTTCTATTATCATCTTTTCTCTATCAGCAAAATGATTCATTTTTAAAAGGTTGGAGAAAAATTATTGGAAACCTTGTGCAAATCCCTAAAAATGAATAACAATTATCCCATCTCTAGAAACGTGTTATATATATATACATATTTACTTATTATACATTTAATATATTAACCAAATAAAATAAATAATAATATGAAATATGATTATAACAAATATTTCATTAGTTTTTCTTGTTTGTTATTTAGGCGGAGGCTGATATATTAACAACAAAGAACAGCTTGGAGGTGTTGCAGGCTGCTATGAACAACGGTGTATTGAATTTGCAAGGGTTCCCATTACCCATGTTGCCATTACCTAATATGGGAATTGGTGGAATGATTCCACAAACGCCATCTGTAACCACAACCTTGCCTATGAGTGTTGGTGCAGAGGGTTGTTCTGGTACAGCAACAACTACACAAGTGTTAAATGTACCAATGGGTATTGGTCACCTGGATACAACTTCCAGCCCTTCCCGGTCAAGTGAATCTCCAAGATGTAGGTCAAGAAATGGGCCAGATTCTGCAACTAATTATTCACTAAACGTCAGCAGCAGTAGCAACGGTGTCAACAATAATAGTCATCATCATCATTCCCACAACAGTAGTACTAGTAACAACAGCAACAATAATAATAACAACAATAACAACAGTCAGAATAATAATAACCATCCTCAGAATGGTCAGCAACCGAATAATTGGAACTTTGAAGATCAATTTAAACAGGTCAGTCATTAAATATATAGTTATTTTTATTCATATTTGTTTATAATCAAGATTAGAAAGATCATTGCAAATTGATTTTGATATATATTTGAACGAACGTTTAATTATTATTATTAATATTATTTGGAAGAATATATATAATATCTAAACATAAGTAATTAGTATTTGAAGTATAATTGTTTCATTAAAAGTGATTAATTGTTTACACCATATACATCTCGTTATCAGATTTTGTTAATTAGAATTAACAAACGTTCGTAATTATTGTTGCTTAATCTGTTTTAACCTAAGCATGATCTATGTTTAATCAATCATTATTATTAATATCATTTATTATGTCTAACTATTGCTGCGCGCTTTGAAATGAATTTATTTTCATTTGAATATATTACGCTTTGCTTTATTACTCCAATCTTAAAATCTAATTTTTGTATTATCTACCTGCTTATTTTGTATTACGATTGTTATTATTACTTTCCTATATTCTTCTATCTTTCGCAAAATCCTTTCAAATAATTATTACTCGAATCAATTATTCGCGTACGCGTTGCATCATTTTTGTTTTACAAGCTTGAGCTTTATTTTTTTTCTTTGTACACGCTTATAAAAGAAAATCAAATTAATCCCTTCTTCTATGTGCTTGAATTACATTCTTAATTGTCAAATAATTCTAGATCAATGAATAAATAGAATATATATCTCGTAAATGATTGTAAAATAAGATGAAGAACTAACGATAAAAGATCAAAATGGTAGAAGAAGAAAAAACAAGGCGTATGATTACGGTCAGGTATGAAGAAGTAGTCGTGGGGGGAGGGGGTTGGGGATTGGTTGAGGGGGTGGAAGATGTAGAAAAGGAAAAGGTAGAGTTATAGAATTAGTCAGGCTCGGCATCGTATCCTTGTTAACGCTTTTTATGTGACCCTTCAATCTCACACACACACACACATACAAACATATTCAAACCCACAGATTTTATATACACATTCATTGTCAGACTCACACGTATACTTACAGATGTGTTCTATACACATTTATTGTCAGACTAACGTACACAGACGCATATAAATGTGTCTCGCAAAGGGTAATTTTTGCATCTGCGAAGGAGAGACGGTCAAGAAAAGGTTTTTGGTTTTTGCAAAGAGGGTGTGGTATCGGATTACCATTTAGATTGTTCAAGCTCTGAAGTAAATGGCACTCTTCAATGGCGACAAATCTGTATACGGTATTTCGCGTTAAGAAAAGATCGCCATTTTATGTTGACTATGATTATGACGTGGAAAAGGACCGAAAAAAGTTTCCTTGAATTTTAATTCCATTCTTTTTTACTTTTTTTTTTAAATTTCTTTTCAATATCTTTCATGCACAACACATTAGTACGATGATATTAAATATTATTTCGTTGTTGGTTTAAAAAATCAATGTTATTAAATTATTATTAATCGTTTGTGACTGTGTGACTGTGTGCGTGTGGTGAGATTTTGGCACAACATAAATAAGAACACGATAGCGTTCACTGTTTTTCAATTAGTGCCGAAATTTTGGCATATGTCCGAAAAAAATACGTAAGCAGCGCTAAACTGTAAAATAAAACTTAACCTATATTCGGGATAAAATCATGGATTTCACTAACGTCATAATGCTTTCGACGAATATTTAATCAAACTTGGCAAAACTTAATTGAGCCACTAATAGTAAACCCGATGTTAACAATAACACCTAATCGATTAATAATAAATTATAAATGTTGAAAAATATGACAAAAATTCTGAAATATTATTTCAGTAAGAAGTGCATACGCGTGCAGAAATATGATTTGATCTAAAATCTGAAACAGGGGACCCTGCCCATTGTTATTGATCAAAAAGTTTTTATTGCATTCCTAATCTTTATTCGTTAGAAAGATGAATAGATAAATAGATAGATAAAAGATGAATAAGATGATGGAAAGAAGAAGAATAAGAAGAAGAGGCAAGTGTACGAGCAAATGTAGGGGAGTGTAGATGGGAAGGGTAGAAGGGAGGGTAGAAGGGAGTTTAAAAAAAAAAAAAATGGCTACGAAAAAAGTGGTTGACTCCGCCTATTCGAAGAGTCGGCGGCGCCCGGATCGCATCCATCATTCCGGCGGGGGCGTACTCGTTCGGTCTTTAATCTTTCCTTCTTCTTGGACCGATGCTGCTACTCCCGCCGTCGCCAATGCCAAAGCCGTTTTCATCTTCGTCTTCTCGTATTCGTTTCGTCTTATTCTGTTGTATGCATCTTCGTCTAAACGTGTGTGTATGTATGTGTGTGTGGGTGCGTTCGTCGCAGTTACTGCAACTGCCGTCGCTCGTCATTTCATTCCCCTACTACTACTACTATTCTTTTTTTTCTTTTCTTTTCTTTTTGTTCAAATATTTTAATTTTTTTAAATTCCTTTTGTTGAAGTTATACTTCTTTTGGCGCTCGTTTTAGAAAGTGAAGTTAGAGATGCGACCGAAAAATCGATACCACGAAGTTGTCGATATTTACTATGCGCGGGAAAATTGAAGTTGTTTTTTAGGTTATTCGTTTTGGTACGCTAAAGA